TCTATAAATCCCTGCTAGAATTACTTCTCAAAGCACATAAGCGCACTTCTCGCTGCAATAAGGGCTGAAGCCTTTTAAACTTGAAGACTTGAAAGTCCGCCAATTTATGGGGGAGTTCAGTCCTTCGCCGGAACAAAGGTCGGACAACAGTGGTTTCTTTATATGGTCCTTGTGATACTTCTCACTTCTGTGACAGCGAAACCAATGTATGTGCCACGCGATGCGCGGCGACTTTATGTCAGGCTGGCCACGGCTCTTAACCTCATCCCCAACGGCATTGACGCGGACAAGTCAGTATCGAACGTGAGAAGGTGCGGGTTGGTTCCCTTCGGGGATTCCCACTACAATCAGGCGAACGTGTTTCGAAACTACCACAACACGCTAACAGTTGTAGTTTCGCAGGCTGCCAGTTCATGAGTTACCTAGAACTAAATGTCAGATTGTCGAGGCTTCTTCTCAGTATGGCTTTTATGGCGCTCGTTTATGAGATCAAGTACCCCTGTAAAAGAGTTAGTGCTAGGTCACGTGCAACATGTGTACATGGGCCGTGCAGCTTTGTCCGTCGCCGCGCACATGCACATATTCGGTCATCTTTACCTTGTCATCAGAATGCGATTGGTGGGAGGAGGGGATGAGGCGGATGCACCGAAAGTCTGTTTTGCCGTAAATATCTTCGAGCGTAAGTCACGTTTACACAAACCTCGTGGGGCAGTAGCTGCCCTCACCGTGTGAGACGGTCAAATTTTTTAACATAATTAGGTTTTCTAATGGAGGATTAAGCGCACGGTTAGCGCAGCGGATAATCAAGCAAGAACCCATCATTCTAAAAGGCCTCCACTCGGTTTTTTTAGGAGATGGCAGCTTAGTGCTGCCATTTAATTATCTGGTTTGAAATCAAATAAACCATCAAAAAGACGTACCAGTGGTATTGGTATTGATTTTCTTGCTTTTTCGGGCTTCAGCGACAAGTTTTCGGTAGAGGGCATCCATGGGGTGCTCCTGGGTAGTTCTTCCCGTAGAGGACTCGCGAAAAAAGATGTTATTATCTTTGTCCTATTTATTTTACAAAAAAACGTATGAGTGCATCAGTCCGCCATGAAGTCAACAACTGTAGGTAGAAATATGCATGTTATAATGGCCAGCAAGCGTCGCACTGGTGTAAGATGTTCCAATACCTACAGATACTTAGCAGAGTAATAGCTGGACCGTTATGAGTCCACAATAAATTCAACTGGTGCTGCCCATGGAGACGATAAAAATGATAGCTTGCGAACCAATCTAAAGATAATTTATTGGCTTTAAAGTGGTCAACTTTTGAAATAGATGCAAAAACGTTTTCGTGTAAACTGCTGCCGTGTGTTTAGGTAGACTAAAGCTAGCACTTATTAATTTCACAAATGAAAGAATGAACTGCGTCCTGCTAGCAGCATATGTAAACGTCGCGATGAACAGCAAAAACAGGCTGATGCCTGCAACTGGAAGAGGTTAAAAGCTTAAACACAACGTACCTGAATGGCAGACCAGCCTTCGGGGAGAGGGGCAGAAATACCCTCACGAGCTAGATAGATTAATTCCGGTTCCTTCTTTATGTCAATTCCAATGCTGGTGGCGTACATTAAAATCTCCTCTTCCGATGGTCTAAGGTCGTTGTTTTCCTCGAGGACTAAAACTCCCGGAGGGCTATTCGACACAGATTTGGGCGAGACGGAGACGTCTAAAGCCGCGCTGGTCGAAAAGTTTTCTTCGGTCATGGGCTTTTGGTTTCCCAGTTTGTTATTGCGACGGTGGCTCATACAGTACTTGATCAGGGAACTGGATGGGTCTTTAAGATATTAAATAATGCTTCAGTACATGACAACTTATACTGTAGAAGTG